CGTTCTGCACTATAGAGGATCCAGTATACTGACACACGTCCACTAACCCGTTCTGCACTATAGAGGATCCAGTATACTGACACGCGTCCACTAACCCGTTCTGCACTATAGAGGATCCAGTATACTGACACGCGTCCACTAACCCGTTCTGCACTATAGAGGATCCAGTATACTGACACGCGTCCACTAACCCGTTCTGCACTATAGAGGATCCTGTATACTGACACGCGTCCACTAACCCGTTCTGCACTATAGAGGATCCAGTATACTGACACACGTCCACTAACCCGTTCTGCACTATAGAGGATCCAGTATACTGACACACGTCCACTAACCCGTTCTGCACTATAGAGGATCCAGTATACTGACACACGTCCACTAACCCGTTCTGCACTATAGAGGATCCAGTATACTGACACACGGCCACTAACCCGTTCTGCACTATAGAGGATCCAGTATACTGACACACGTCCACTAACCCGTTCTGCACTATAGAGGATCCAGTATACTGACACGCGTCCACTAACCCGTTCTGCACTATAGAGGATCCAGTATACTGACACACGTCCACTAACCCGTTCTGCACTATAGAGGATCCAGTATACTGACACACGTCCACTAACCCGTTCTGCACTATAGAGGATCCAGTATACTGACACGCGTCCACTAACCCGTTCTGCACTATAGAGGATCCAGTATACTGACACACGTCCACTAACCCGTTCTGCACTATAGAGGATCCAGTATACTGACACACGTCCACTAACCCGTTCTGCACTATAGAGGATCCAGTATACTGACACACGTCCACTAACCCGTTCTGCACTATAGAGGATCCAGTATACTGACACACGGCCACTAACCCGTTCTGCACTATAGAGGATCCAGTATACTGACACACGTCCACTAACCCGTTCTGCACTATAGAGGATCCAGTATACTGACACGCGTCCACTAACCCGTTCTGCACTATAGAGGATCCAGTATACTGACACACGTCCACTAACCCGTTCTGCACTATAGAGGATCCAGTATACTGACACACGTCCACTAACCCGTTCTGCACTATAGAGGATCCAGTATACTGACACGCGTCCACTAACCCGTTCTGCACTATAGAGGATCCAGTATACTGACACACGTCCACTAACCCGTTCTGCACTATAGAGGATCCAGTATACTGACACGCGTCCACTAACCCGTTCTGCACTATAGAGGATCCAGTATACTGACACGCGTCCACTAACCCGTTCTGCACTATAGAGGATCCAGTATACTGACACACGTCCACTAACCCGTTCTGCACTATAGAGGATCCAGTATACTGACACGCGTCCACTAACCCGTTCTGCACTATAGAGGATCCAGTATACTGACACACGTCCACTAACCCGTTCTGCACTATAGAGGATCCAGTATACTGACACGCGTCCACTAACCCGTTCTGCACTATAGAGGATCCAGTATACTGACACACGTCCACTAACCCGTTCTGCACTATAGAGGATCCAGTATACTGACACGCGTCCACTAACCCGTTCTGCACTATAGAGGATCCAGTATACTGACACGCGTCCACTAACCCGTTCTGCACTATAGAGGATCCAGTATACTGACACACGTCCACTAACCCGTTCTGCACTATAGAGGATCCAGTATACTGACACACGTCCACTAACCCGTTCTGCACTATAGAGGATCCAGTATACTGACACGCGTCCACTAACCCGTTCTGCACTATAGAGGATCCAGTATACTGACACACGTCCACTAACCCGTTCTGCACTATAGAGGATCCAGTATACTGACACGCGTCCACTAACCCGTTCTGCACTATAGAGGATCCAGTATACTGACACGCGTCCACTAACCCGTTCTGCACTATAGAGGATCCAGTATACTGACACACGTCCACTAACCCGTTCTGCACTATAGAGGATCCAGTATACTGACACGCGTCCACTAACCCGTTCTGCACTATAGAGGATCCAGTATACTGACACACGTCCACTAACCCGTTCTGCACTATAGAGGATCCAGTATACTGACACACGTCCACTAACCCGTTCTGCACTATAGAGGATCCAGTATACTGACACGCGTCCACTAACCCGTTCTGCACTATAGAGGATCCAGTATACTGACACACGTCCACTAACCCGTTCTGCACTATAGAGGATCCAGTATACTGACACGCGTCCACTAACCCGTTCTGCACTATAGAGGATCCAGTATACTGACACGCGTCCACTAACCCGTTCTGCACTATAGAGGATCCAGTATACTGACACACGTCCACTAACCCGTTCTGCACTATAGAGGATCCAGTATACTGACACGCGTCCACTAACCCGTTCTGCACTATAGAGGATCCAGTATACTGACACGCGTCCACTAACCCGTTCTGCACTATAGAGGATCCAGTATACTGACACGCGTCCACTAACCCGTTCTGCACTATAGAGGATCCAGTATACTGACACACGTCCACTAACCCGTTCTGCACTATAGAGGATCCAGTATACTGACACGCGTCCACTAACCCGTTCTGCACTATAGAGGATCCAGTATACTGACACGCGTCCACTAACCCGTTCTGCACTATAGAGGATCCAGTATACTGACACACGTCCACTAACCCGTTCTGCACTATAGAGGATCCAGTATACTGACACACGTCCACTAACCCGTTCTGCACTATAGAGGATCCAGTATACTGACACGCGTCCACTAACCCGTTCTGCACTATAGAGGATCCAGTATACTGACACACGTCCACTAACCCGTTCTGCACTATAGAGGATCCAGTATACTGACACGCGTCCACTAACCCGTTCTGCACTATAGAGGATCCAGTATACTGACACGCGTCCACTAACCCGTTCTGCACTATAGAGGATCCAGTATACTGACACACGTCCACTAACCCGTTCTGCACTATAGAGGATCCAGTATACTGACACACGGCCACTAACCCGTTCTGCACTATAGAGGATCCAGTATACTGACACGCGTCCACTAACCCGTTCTGCACTAAAGAGGATCCAGTATACTGACACACGTCCACTAACCCGTTCTGCACTATAGAGGATCCAGTATACTGACACACGTCCACTAACCCGTTCTGCACTATAGAGGATCCAGTATACTGACACGCGTCCACTAACCCGTTCTGCACTATAGAGGATCCAGTATACTGACACGCGTCCACTAACCCGTTCTGCACTATAGAGGATCCAGTATACTGACACGCGTCCACTAACCCGTTCTGCACTATAGAGGATCCAGTATACTGACACGCGTCCACTAACCCGTTCTGCACTATAGAGGATCCAGTATACTGACACACGTCCACTAACCCGTTCTGCACTATAGAGGATCCAGTATACTGACACACGTCCACTAACCCGTTCTGCACTATAGAGGATCCAGTATACTGACACACGTCCACTAACCCGTTCTGCACTATAGAGGATCCAGTATACTGACACGCGTCCACTAACCCGTTCTGCACTATAGAGGATCCAGTATACTGACACACGTCCACTAACCCGTTCTGCACTATAGAGGATCCAGTATACTGACACACGTCCACTAACCCGTTCTGCACTATAGAGGATCCAGTATACTGACACACGTCCACTAACCCGTTCTGCACTATAGAGGATCCAGTATACTGACACGCGTCCACTAACCCGTTCTGCACTATAGAGGATCCAGTATACTGACACACGTCCACTAACCCGTTCTGCACTATAGAGGATCCAGTATACTGACACACGTCCACTAACCCGTTCTGCACTATAGAGGATCCAGTATACTGACACGCGTCCACTAACCCGTTCTGCACTATAGAGGATCCAGTATACTGACACACGTCCACTAACCCGTTCTGCACTAAAGAGGATCCAGTATACTGACACGCGTCCACTAACCCGTTCTGCACTATAGAGGATCCAGTATACTGACACACGTCCACTAACCCGTTCTGCACTATAGAGGAGGCATGAGTTAGAGCTGCTCTCGTTAGTGTTGAGCTGAGGACACACACGTCTCGAGCCTGAAGCTCCGGCTCCATGATCATGTTTAAAGAAGAAGAAAAAACACTTCATGCTCCAACCTCTCATTAACTATGTGATGTTCAATTCAAATTTATTTGTATAGCGCTTTTCACAATACATATTGTTTCAAAGCAGCTTTACAGAAAGTGCATTTCAGAAATGTAGTCCAGAGTTTAGGAGGTAAAGGTGAGAACGCCCTCCCTCCTTTAGTGGACTTAGATATCCTAGGAATAGAAGGATAGAAGGTCCATTAAATACACAGGAGCTAAACCATTTAGGGCTTTATAGGTCAGTAGAAGTACTTTGTAATTGATACGATAGGTAACCAGTGTAGAGATGATAAAATTGGTGTTATATGATCATATTTTCTTGACCTAGGAAGAACTCTAGCGGCTGCATTTTGCACTAACTGTAGCTTGTTTATTGAGGATTTAGGACAGCCAGCTAATAAAGCATTACAGTAATCTAGTCTCGAGGTCATGAATGCATGAACTAACTTTTCTGCATCAGAAACAGATAGCATGTTACGTAGCTTAGCAATGTTTCTAAGGTGAAAAAAGGCTGTTCTTGTAACATATGAAATATGATTTTCCAAAGACAAGTTGCGGTCTAGTATAACTCCCAGGTCTTTTACCGTAGAGGATAAAGTAACAGGACATCCTTCTAAATTAAAGTTGTATTGTAAGTGGTTTTGTGGGTAGTTTTTTGCACCAATAAGTAATACCTCCGTTTTATCTGGATTTAGTAGCAGGAAATTACACGTCATCCAGCATTTTATATCTTTAAGACACTCTGTCAATTTAGATGAGTTAGTGTTTTCATCTGGCCGTGATGAAATATATAATTGAGTGTCATCAGCATAACAGTGGAAATGAATTAATTCCATTAATTGTTGTGTGTGTGTGAGAAAGTAAAGCTCATCTGTTCTCCCTCTGTCAGACATCAACGAGCTGAACCTGCCGAAGACGTGCGAGATCGTTTTCCCCGACCAGGACGATCTGCTCAACTTCAAGCTCATCATCTCGCCAGACGAGGTTTGCCTTCGTTAGGCTTTGTGGGGGAAAGCACGGTTTATGCTTGTTATATATTTCAGAGATTCAAATGATGAAGCGTAAAGTTTGTCAGCTTGTGAAGTTCGTTAGCGGCACACATGATGACCTGTGATTTAATTAGCGGAGCATGAAACCTGCGTTAGTAATGCTGTCCAGCAGGGAAACATTCATTCATTATGACAGACTTTTGCACATGACTTTGTTCTGCTGACTGTCCTGATCAATTTAATAAACATTTATCATTTTCTCTGTTTTTTATAGGGTTTCTATAAAGGTGGGAAATTTGTCTTCAGTTTTAAGGTAAACAGCATCTTGAGTAAATCCGTGATCACTTCACTAAATAAAGCCTCTTCGAGTCAGACGGTGGCGCTAGGCAGTGCTAGCTCTGCTAGATTATATAGATGAAAACCTTATACTAGCTTTACATAAGGGTTAGCAGATCAGTAGTTCTACAATGTAACATAATTCTTGAGAACTGAAATGTTAATTTTCAGTTCTTAAAATGCAAAAACTATTTCATTAAAGAACTGAAAATGAAAGCCAGGATCCACAGAGCGCAGATGCTAGTCGGACTCTGGGCAATAGAGGAGGATAAACGTCTCCGTAATGAAAGTTCCTGCGGTGTTAGAATATGCTAAATCTGAGCTGAGTGTATGTCAGTGAGGAGAGGATGAAGATGAGGCTCTAGAACCGCAGACCCTTCTGGAACACACAGTACAACATGAGCAAAGTTTGGAACAAGCCCTTTCTGCAGCCGAGTTTCAATAAGTGCAGTTTTTGCAACTTTTCTGATCGTTACAGTGAAACTCTTTCAAAGGATCAAGGACAGTTTGATTCCTTGTGAAGCGACACAGACAGATGTGTTTACAGATAAACACATTATTAACACACACGAGAGCATCTGTAACACACACGAGAGCATCTGTAACACACGAGCACATCTGTAACACACGAGCACATCTGTAACACACGAGAGCATCTATAACACACAAGCACATCTGTAACACACACGAGCACATCTGTAACACACAAGCACATCTGTAACACACACGAGCACATCTGTAACACACAAGCACATCTGTAACACACACGAGAGCATCTGTAACACACGAGCACATCTGTAACACACGAGCACATCTGTAACACACGAGAGCATCTATAACACACAAGCACATCTGTAACACACACGAGCACATCTGTAACACACGAGCACATCTGTAACACACGAGAGCATCTATAACACACAAGCACATCTGTAACACACACGAGCACATCTGTAACACACAAGCACATCTGTAACACACAAGCACATCTGTAACACACGAGAGCATCTATAACACACACGAGCACATCTGTAACACACGAGCACATCTGTAACACACGAGAGCATCTATAACACACAAGCACATCTGTAACACACACGAGCACATCTGTAACACACGAGCACATCTATAACACACAAGCACATCTGTAACACACACGAGCACATCTGTAACACACACGAGCACATCTGTAACACACGAGCACATCTGTAACACACGAGAGCATCTATAACACACAAGCACATCTGTAACACACACGAGCACATCTGTAACACACGAGAGCATCTATAACACACAAGCACATCTGTAACACACACAAGCACATCTGTAACACACGAGAGCATCTATAACACACACGAGCACATCTGTAACACACACGAGCACATCTGTAACACACGAGAGCATCTGTAACACACACGAGCACATCTGTAACACACACGAGCACATCTGTAACACACGAGCACATCTGTAACACACGAGCACATCTGTAACACACACGAGCACATCTGTAACACACGAGCACATCTGTAACACACGAGAGCATCTATAACACACAAGCACATCTGTAACACACACGAGCACATCTGTAACACACAAGCACATCTGTAACACACACGAGCGCATCTGTAACACACAAGCACATCTGTAACACACACGAGAGCATCTGTAACACACACGAGCACATCTGTAACACACACGAGCGCATCTGTAACACACACACGAGCACATCTGTAACACACATGAGAGGATCTGAAACACACACGAGCACATCTGTAGCACATCTGTAACACACACGAGAGCATCTGTAACACACACACGAGCACATCTGTAACACACATGAGAGGATCTGAAACACACACGAGCACATCTGTAGCACATCTGTAACACACACGAGAGCATCTGTAACACACACACGAGCACATCTGTAACACACACGAGAGCATCTGTAACACACACGAGCGCATCTGTAACACACACGAGCACATCTGTAACACACACGAGCGCATCTGTAACACACACACGAGCACATCTGTAACACACATGAGAGGATCTGAAACACACACGAGCACATCTGTAGCACATCTGTAACACACACGAGCACATCTGTAACACACACGAGAGCATCTGTAACACACACGAGCACATCTGTAACACACACGAGCACATCTGTAACACACACAAGCACATCTGAAACACACACGAGCACATCTGTAACACACACGAGCACATCTGTAACACACACGAGAGCATCTGTAACACACACGAGCACATCTGTAACACACACAAGCACATCTGAAACACACACGAGCACATCTGTAACACACACAAGCACATCTGAAACACACACGAGCACATCTGTAACACACACGAGAGCATCTGTAACACACACGAGCATATCTGTAACACACACGAGAGCATCTGTAACACACACGAGCACATCTGTAACACACACAAGCACATCTGTAACACACACGAGCACATCTGTAACACACACGAGCACATCTGTAACACACACAAGAGCATCTGTAACACACACGAGCGCATCTGTAACACACACGAGAGCATCTGAAACACACACGAGAGCATCTGAAACACACACGAGCACATCTGTAACACACACGAGAGCATCTGTAACACACACGAGCACATCTGTAACACACACGAGCACATCTGTAACACACACGAGCACATCTGTAACACACACGAGCACATCTGTAACACACACGAGAGCATCTGTAACACACACGAGAGCATCTGAAACACACACGAGAGCATCTGAAACACACACGAGCACATCTGTAACACACACGAGAGCATCTGTAACACACACGAGCACATCTGTAACACACGAGCACATCTGTAACACACACGAGCACATCTGTAACACACACGAGCACATCTGTAACACACACGAGAGCATCTGTAACACACACGAGCGCATCTGTAACACACACGAGCACATCTGTAACACACACGAGCACATCTGTAACACACACGAGCACATCTGTAACACACACGAGAGCATCTGAAACACACACGAGAGCATCTATAACACACACGAGAGCATCTGTAACACACACAAGCACATCTGTAACACACACGAGAGCATCTGAAACACACGAGCACATCTGTAACACACACGAGCACATCTGTAACACACGAGCACATCTGTAACACACACGAGAGCATCTGTAACACACATCTGTAACACACAAGCACATCTCTAACACACGAGCACATCTCTAACACACACGAGCACATCTGTAACACACACGAGCACATCTGTAACACACACGAGCACATCTGAAACACACGAGCACATCTGTAACACACACGAGAGCATCTGTAACACACATCTGTAACACACAAGCACATCTCTAACACACGAGCACATCTCTAACACACACGAGCACATCTGTAACACACACGAGCACATCTGTAACACACACGAGAGCATCTGTAAGACACACAAGCACATCTCTAACACACACGAGCACATCTGTAACACACACGAGCACATCTGTAACACACACGAGAGCATCTGTAACACACACAAGCACATCTCTAACACACACAAGCACATCTGTAACACACACGAGCACATCTCTAACGCACACGAGCACATCTGTAACACACACGAGAGCATCTCTAGCACACACGAGCACATCTGTAGCACACACGAGCACATCTGTAACACACACGAAAGCATCTGTAACACACACGAGCACATCTGTAACACACACGAAAGCATCTGTTACACACACGAGCACATCTGTAACACACAAGCACATCTGTAACACACACGAGATCTGAAACACACACGAGAGCATCTGAAACACACACAAGAGCATCTGTAACACACACACGAGCACATCTGTAACACACACACAAGAGCATCTGTAACACACACGAGAGCATCTGAAACACACACGAGCACATCTGTAACACACACTAGCACATCTGTAACACACACGAGAGCATCTGAAACACACACAAGAGCATCTGTAACACACACGAGATCTGAAACACACACGAGAGCATCTGAAACACACACAAGAGCATCTGTAACACACACACGAGCACATCTGTAACACACACACAAGAGCATCTGTAACACACACGAGAGCATCTGAAACACACACGAGCGCATCTGTAACACACACGAGCACATCTGTAACACACACAAGCACACACGAGCACATCTGTAACACACACGAGAGCATCTGTAACACACACGAGCACATCTGTAACACACACAAGCACATCTGTAACACACACGAGAGCATCTGTAACACACACAAGCACACACGAGCACATCTGTAACACACACGAGAGCATCTGTAACACACACGAGCACATCTGTAACACACACAAGCACATCTGTAACACACGAGAGCATCTGTAACACACACAAGCACACACGAGCACATCTGTAACACACGAGCACATCTGTAACACACACAAGAGCATCTGAAACACACACGAGAGCATCTGTAACACACACGAGCACTCACGAGCACATCTGTAACACACACGAGAGCATCTGTAACACACACGAGAGCATCTGAAACACACACGAGAGCATCTGTAACACACACGAGAGCATCTGAAACACACACGAGAGCATCTGTAACACACACGAGCACATCTGTAACACACGAGCACATCTGTAACACACACAAGAGCATCTGAAACACACACGAGAGCATCTGTAACACACACGAGCACTCACGAGCACATCTGTAACACACACGAGAGCATCTGTAACACACACGAGAGCATCTGAAACACACACGAGAGCATCTGAAACACACACGAGAGCATCTGAAACACACACGAGAGCATCTGTAACACACACGAGAGCATCTGAAACACACACGAGAGCATCTGAAACACACACGAGAGCATCTGAAACACACACGAGAGCATCTGTAACACACACGAGAGCATCTGTAACACACACGAGAGCATCTGAAACACACACGAGAGCATCTGTAACACACACGAGAGCATCTGTAACACACACGAGCACATCTGTAACACACGAGCACATCTGTAACACACGAGCACATCTGTAACACACGAGCACATCTGTAACACACACGAGCACATCTGTAACACACATGAGCACATCTGTAACACACACGAGAGCATCTGTAACACACACGAGCACATCTGTAACACACACGAGCACATCTGTAACACACACGAGAGCATCTGTAACACACACGAGCACATCTGTAACACACACGAGCACATCTGTAACACACACGAGCACATCTGTAACACACATGAGCACATCTGTAACACACACGAGAGCATCTGTAACACACACGAGCGCATCTGTAACACACACGAGCACATCTGTAACACACACGAGCACATCTGTAACACACACGAAAGCATCTGTAACACACACGAGCACATCTGTAACACACAAGCACATCTGTAACACACACGAGATCTGAAACACACACGAGAGCATCTGAAACACACACAAGAGCATCTGTAACACACACACGAGCACATCTGTAACACACACACAAGAGCATCTGTAACACACACACAAGAGCATCTGTAACACACACGAGAGCATCTGAAACACACACGAGCACATCTGTAACACACACAAGCTCATCTGTAACACACGAGCACATCTGTAACACACACAAGAGCATCTGAAACACACACGAGCACATCTGTAACACACACGAGAGCATCTGTAACACACACGAGAGCATCTGAAACACACACGAGAGCATCTGTAACACACACGAGAGCATCTGTAACACACACGAGCACATCTGTAACACACAAGCACATCTGTAACACACACGAGAGCATCTGAAACACACACGAGAGCATCTGTAACACACACGAGCACATCTGTAACACACACGAGCACATCTGTAACACACACGAGCACATCTGTAACACACACGAGCACATCTGTAACACACACGAGCACATCTGTAACACACACGAGCACATCTGTAACACACACGAGCGCATCTGTAACACACACGAGAGCATCTGAAACACACACGAGCGCATCTGTAACACACACGAGAGCATCTGTAACACACACAAGCTCATCTGTAACACACGAGCACATCTGTAACACACACAAGAGCATCTGAAACACACACGAGCACATCTGTAACACACACGAGAGCATCTGTAACACACACGAGAGCATCTGAAACACACACGAGAGCATCTGTAACACACACGAGAGCATCTGTAACACACACGAGCACATCTGTAACACACAAGCACATCTGTAACACACACGAGAGCATCTGAAACACACACGAGAGCATCTGTAACACACACGAGCACATCTGTAACACACACGAGCACATCTGTAACACACACGAGCACATCTGTAACACACACGAGCACATCTGTAACACACACGAGCACATCTGTAACACACACGAGCGCATCTGTAACACACACGAGAGCATCTGTAACACACACGAGCACATCTGTAACACACACGAGCACATCTGTAACACACACGAGCACATCTGTAACACACACGAGCACATCTATAACACACACGAGAGCATCTGTAACACACACGAGAGCATCTGAAACACACACGAGAGCATCTGTAACACACACGAGAGCATCTGTAACACACACGAGAGCATCTGTAACACACACGAGCACATCTGTAACACACGAGAGCATCTGTAACACACACGAGCACATCTGTAACACACACGAGAGCATCTGAAACACACACGAGAGCATCTGTAACACACACGAGCACATCTGTAACACGCACGAGCACATCTGGAACACACACGAGCACATCTGGAACACACACAAGCACATCTGGAACACACACGAGCACATCTGGAACACACACGAGCACATCTGTAACACACACGAGCACATCTGGAACACACACGAGCACATCTGGAACACACACGAACACACACGAGCACATCTGGAACACACACGAGCACATCTGGAACACACACGAGCACATCTGGAACACACACGAGCACATCTGGAACACACACGAGCACATCTGGAACACACACGAGCACATCTGGAACACACACGAGCACACACGAGCACATCTGGAACACACATGAGAAGATAAACACATCTGTAATTGCTGAAATGATCTGTCATCACTAACATTTTTTACCCATTATCCAAACGGTGTAAACTTTCTTTTGCTGTATTTTCTTTAACTAGCTTTTTTATCTTCTAAATCCTTTACAGTTTGTTTTGTACCTTTCTTTATTTCTTAATTTGCCATTTACAAATGTATTTATGATGAGCTGACATGTTTAGTCACTTCCATGTTTTTATTGCTTTATTTTTGCTTGAAAGGAAGATACTCGTACCGGAAACTAACTGGTACTAGTCCTTGCAAATTACCTTCTAACAGCAATTCTAAAAGCTTGTTAAATGATGATTAAAGCGTGTGTGAAGTTCAGATGCTCTTCTCTTGCAGGTCGGACAGGGTTACCCTCACGACCCTCCAAAAGTCAAATGTGAAACGATGGTTTATCACCCCAACATCGACCTCGAAGGAAACGTCTGTCTAAATATTTTGAGGTATTGTGTTTATCATCATATACCAGCTGACCAGAACTGTACATGAGCACAAACACTGTTATATCTTTAGCATTGGTTGGTAAAATATAAGAAATGTTCATTAAATACTGTAAAATCTTACTTTATTCTGCATGACACAAACAGAGAGATGTTGATAAATGTTCCTGTTGCTTGATCTAGAACGCTTTTATTTCTGATGTCCGCTTTTGTGAAGTACATTTTTATGGGTTTGGAATGACATGAGATTGAGTAAATAATGTGGGTTTTATGAATTTTGAAGTGATTCCTTTTAATAATTTGTCTCAAACATGTCTTTTTTTTATACATGATTTTCTTTTCTATTTCCAAAATACTTTCTAACATTGTTGTGTGTGTTTAACTTGTCCTGGGATTGAGCAGCGCTGTTTGCTGCCGATCCCGTACAGACTGAGTGTTTAACGGGTGGAAATGGTCATGATGAATTATGAGAGTGTAATTGAGAAGGCACTTTGACTCTTTGTTTCAGAGAAGACTGGAAGCCGGTCTTGACGATTAACTCCATCATATACGGACTACAGTATCTGTTCCTCGTAAGTTGTCGAATCACTGTTTGGTGACACGAACCTCGAAACCAAACATCATGACGTGTGAGGTTCATGTCGATTCGTTTAATTATTCTTTAACCTCTAATCATTGTGTTTTTTCACTGTTACAATATCTATTACTTGCCCTAGTTTACATGGAGTCCATTCACCGTAGACAAAATATTTTTTTCTTATGTTTTCTTAGTTTAAAGGAGTAGTTCACACAATTAAAATTTGCTGATAATTTACTCTCCCCCACGTCATCCAAGATGTTCATGTCCGTCTTTCTTCAGTCGAAAAGAAATGAAGGTTTTTGAGGAAAACACTCCAGGTGTTTCTCCATATAGTGACTTCAATGGGGTCCAACAGGTCGAAAGTCCAGATGTGAGTTTCAGTGCAGCTTCAAAGTCTCGACACGATCCAGCCGAGGAATAAGAGTCGTATCTAGACAAACCAGCCGACATTTATAACAAAATAAACATTTATATACTTTTAACCACTAATGCTGGTCTTGCACGTCCACGACTTCACGCATGACGTAATCAGGTTGGAAAGGATCGGGGGTCACCTGACGTAAGTGTAGGGTAGGGCCAAAAACTAATTTTCTCCTCCAACTTCAAAATCATCTGACATCGTTGTTTTACCGTTTATTTATTTATTTATTTATTGTAAATGGCGTTTGACTCGGTCTTCGCACGTTGGCTTTGTAAACACTGGGTCTGTTCTTCCGCCTACGTCACGCTTGACCTTTCAGCCTGATTGCGTAATGTGTGGTAAATCAGAGCTAGTGCAAGACCAGCATTTGTGGTTAAAAGTATATAAATGTTTATTTTGTTGTAAAATGTCGGCTGGTTTGTCTAGATCAGACTCTTATTCCTCGGCTGGATCGTGTCGAGACTTTGAAGCTGCACTGAAACTCACATTTGGACCTTCGACCCGTTGGACCCCATTGAAGTCACTATAAGTAAATGTTAATTCTGAAGTGAACTTATCCTTTAATTGGTGAATAGTGTGTCATTTACAGACATGAAAATCCAACTTGCATGCCGTTCATTTGTGCCGTTTGTGAGCAAGCGCCCTGTGCTAATCGTTCCCGTGTGTTTCCGCTTCCAGGAGCCGAATCCCGAAGACCCCCTGAATAAAGAAGCGGCCGAAGTCCTTCAGACGAACCGGCGGCTCTTCGAGCAGAACGTCCAGCGCTCGCTGCGCGGCGGATACGTGGGCGCTACGTACTTCGAGCGCTGTCTGAAATAGTCCCGCGCGCCGGCCCTCACGTCCGAGAATGCATTTATCGTTTACATGCGCTGAGATGCACTGACCGACACACTGACCGGAGCGCGGGGGGGTTATTAAGGAATAGGCTGGGAAAGGCTGGTCAGTGATTGTTGCTCAGAGAATTCAGTCGTATTTTGCCACTATGCTGGTACCCACTGTTTATTTTTGCTGAGATTCACATGCTAACTTATCCTCCCACTCACAGACATGAACCGAGAGCGAGACGTCATTTCACTTCTCTTGTATTCCATTATGAAGGCTTGAGGACTGATTTCCTCTGGGCTTCAGCGACGGGGATCCTGCCTCGCGTCGCACATATTCAACTGTGTTTAGTAGTCACTAATTTTTATGTTTGCAAAAAAAAAAGACGTGTATAGCATCGCATCTGACCAATTCTGATAGTATTGACAATTTGATAACCCGTTGAGCCTGGAGACTGGTTAACACGAGATCCACAGGATCCGTCTGCATTGGGGCTGTTGTGAGCTTGGGAGACCTTAAGATGTTTTGCTATAGTTTTCCTGGTTGGGAATGGGTGGGATTGGATTTTCTTGAGGAGGGAAGGGTATGACGTAGGGTTAGGAATGGTTATGTAAAATGTTACAATTCTGTTGTGTATATTGAAATCCCAGTTGTTCATGATGACTGCAATATGAATTATGTTAAATAAAATATTGATTTGAATGCCTACATTTTAAAATGAGTGTAAACTACAACAGCAGATTGTCTTTAAAAAACAACGACGACAATAAAATGTTTTATCTGACCTGGACCAAAGTGCCTCTGCATCAGGACAGACCGTTGCATCGTCAGAACATGGATTATCATGTTGATGATTAACTTTAACATAGGAGAAAATCATACAAATGTTCATGTGATAATCCAAACGCTCTGTTTTGCTGTGTCATCATTAATTAAAAGCTGTAAAAATCACATTTCTTTCTAACAGTTTTACACATTACTTCGGTATCCAGTGTGAATGTGCAAGCCACTGCAGTCCTCACCGGAGAAGCCGGGCCACTGTTAGCTGCCATTAAATATATCAGATTTAATAAAAGCCGTATTTCCTCTGCACTGTGAACAAAGCCGTCAATATCTGGGTCTTTTACTGGAAACTTCCATTTGTCCTCGAAGAGTTCTGATTGTCTTCTGTCATTGTGTTTTATAAATCTGTCAGAGAAACTCGGGATGACATGTTTTGGTGATATTAGAAGGTTGAAGCGTTACAGTTGAAGGACCGGTTACTGTAACGACCCGCTGGAGAACACTGATGATGAAGGACCGGTTACTGTAACGACCCGCTGGAGAACACTGATGATGAAGGACCGGTTACTGTAACGACCCGCTGGAGAACACTGATGATGAAGGACCGGTTACAGTAACGACCCGCTGGAGAACACTGATGATGAAGGACCGGTTACTGTAACGACCCGCTGGAGAACACTGATGATGAAGGACCGGTTACTGTAACGACCCGCTGGAGAACACTGATGATGAAGGACCGGTTACAGTAACAACCCGCTGGAGAACACTGATGATGAAGGACCGGTTACTGTAACGACCCGCTGGAGAACACTGATGATGAAGGACCGGTTACAGTAACGACCCGCTGGAGAACACTGATGATGAAGGACCGGTTATTGTAACGACCCGCTGGAGAACACTGATGATGAAGGACCGGTTACTGTAACGACCCGCTGGAGAACACTGATGATGAAGGACCGGTTACTGTAACGACCCGCTGGAGAACACTGATGATGAAGGACCGGTTACTGTAACGACCCGCTGGAGAACACTGATGATGAAGGACCGGTTACTGTAACGACCCGCTGGAGAACACTGATGATGAAGGACCGGTTACAGTAACGACCCGCTGGAGAACACTGATGATGAAGGACCGGTTACAGTAACGACCCGCTGGAGAACACTGATGATGAAGGACCGGTTACAGTAACGACCCGCTGGAGAACACTGATGATGAAGGACCAGTTACTGTAACGACCCGCTGGAGAACACTGATGATGAAGGACCGGTTACTGTAACGACCCGCTGGAGAACACTGATGATGAAGGACCGGTTACTGTAACGACCCGCTGGAGAACACTGATGATGAAGGACCGGTTACAGTAACGACCCGCTGGAGAACACTGATGATGAAGGACCGGTTACTGTAACGACCCGCTGGAGAACACTGATGATGAAGGACCGGTTATTGTAACGACCCGCTGGAGAACACTGATGATGAAGGACCGGTTACTGTAACGACCCGCTGGAGAACACTGATGATGAAGGACCGGTTATTGTAACGACCCGCTGGAGAACACTGATGATGAAGGACCGGTTACTGTAACGACCCGCTGGAGAACACTGATGATGAAGGACCGGTTACAGTAACAATCCGCTGGAGAACACTGATGATGAAGGACCGGTTACTGTAACGACCCGCTGGAGAACACTGATGATGAAGGACCGGTTACTGTAACGACCCGCTGGAGAACACTGATGATGAAGGACCGGTTACTGTAACGACCCGCTGGAGAACACTGATGATGAAGGACCGGTTACAGTAACGACCCGCTGGAGAACACTGATGATGAAGGACCGGTTACTGTAACGACCCGCTGGAGAACACTGATGATGAAGGACCGGTTACTGTAACGACCCGCTGGAGAACACTGATGATGAAGGACCGGTTACTGTAACGACCCGCTGGAGAACACTGATGATGAAGGACCGGTTACTGTAACGACCCGCTGGAGAACACTGATGATGAAGGACCGGTTACAGTAACGACCCGCTGGAGAACACTGATGATGATGGACCGGTTACTGTAACGACCCGCTGGAGAACACTGATGATGAAGGACCGGTTACAGTAACGACCCGCTGGAGAACACTGATGATGAAGGACCGGTTATTGTAACGACCCGCTGGAGAACACTGATGATGAAGGACCGGTTACAGTAACGACCCGCTGGAGAACACTGATGATGAAGGACCGGTTACAGTAACGACCCGCTGGAGAACACTGATGATGAAGGACCGGTTACAGTAACGACCCGCTGGAGAACACTGATGATGAAGGACCGGTTACTGTAACGACCCGCTGGAGAACACTGATGATGAAGGACCGGTTACAGTAACGACCCGCTGGAGAACACTGATGATGAAGGACCGGTTACAGTAACGACCCGCTGGAGAACACTGATGATGAAGGACCGGTTACTGTAACGACCCACTGGAGAACACTGATGATGAAGGACCGGTTACTGTAACGACCCGCTGGAGAACACTGATGATGAAGGACCGGTTACAGTAACGACCCGCTGGAGAACACTGATGATGAAGGACCGGTTACAGTAACGACCCGCTGGAGAACACTGATGATGAAGGACCGGTTACAGTAACGACCCGCTGGAGAACACTGATGATGAAGGACCGGTTACAGTAACGACCCGCTGGAGAACACTGATGATGAAGGACCGGTTACTGTAACGACCCGCTGGAGAACACTGATGATGAAGGACCGGTTACTGTAACGACCCGCTGGAGAACACTGATGATGAAGGACCGGTTACAGTAACGACCCGCTGGAGAACACTGATGATGAAGGACCGGTTACAGTAACGACCCGCTGGAGAACACTGATGATGAAGGACCGGTTACAGTAACGACCCGCTGGAGAACACTGATGATGAAGGACCGGTTACTGTAACGACCCGCTGGAGAACACTGATGATGAAGGACCGGTTACTGTAACGACCCGCTGGAGAACACTGATGATGAAGGACCGGTTACTGTAACGACCCGCTGGAGAACACTGATGATGAAGGACCGGTTACTGTAACGACCCGCTGGAGAACACTGATGATGAAGGACCGGTTACTGTAACGACCCGCTGGAGAACACTGATGATGAAGGACCGGTTACAGTAACGACCCGCTGGAGAACACTGATGATGAAGGACCGGTTATTGTAACGACCCGCTGGAGAACACTGATGATGAAGGACCGGTTACAGTAACGACCCGCTGGAGAACACTGATGATGAAGGACCGGTTACAGTAACGACCCGCTGGAGAACACTGATGATGAAGGACCGGTTACAGTAACGACCCGCTGGAGAACACTGATGATGAAGGACCGGTTACTGTAACGACCCGCTGGAGAACACTGATGATGAAGGACCGGTTACAGTAACGACCCGCTGGAGAACACCGATGATGAAGGACCGGTTACTGTAACGACCCGCTGGAGAACACTGATGATGAAGGACCGGTTACTGTAACGACCCGCTGGAGAACACAGATGATGAAGGACCGGTTACTGTAACGACCCGCTGGAGAACACTGATGATGAAGGACCGGTTACTGTAACGACCCGCTGGAGAACACTGATGATGAAGGACCGGTTACTGTAACGACCCGCTGGAGAACACTGATGATGAAGGACCGGTTACAGTAACGACCCGCTGGAGAACACTGATGATGAAGGACCGGTTACAGTAACGACCCGCTGGAGAACACTGATGATGAAGGACCGGTTACAGTAACGACCCGCTGGAGAACACTGATGATGAAGGACCGGTTACTGTAACGACCCGCTGAAAAACACTGATGATGAAGGACCGGTTACTGTAACGACCCGCTGGAGAACACTGATGATGAAGGACCGGTTACTGTAACGACCCGCTGGAGAACACTGATGATGAAGGACCGGTTACTGTAACGACCCGCTGGAGAACACTGATGATGAAGGACCGGTTACTGTAACGACCCGCTGGAGAACACTGATGATGAAGGACCGGTTACAGTAACGACCCGCTGGAGAACACTGATGATGAAGGACCGGTTACTGTAACGACCCGCTGGAGAACACTGATGATGAAGGACCGGTTACAGTAACGACCCGCTGGAGAACACTGATGATGAAGGACCGGTTACAGTAACGACCCGCTGGAGAACACTGATGATGAAGGACCGGTTACAGTAACGACCCGCTGGAGAACACTGATGATGAAGGACCGGTTACTGTAACGACCCGCTGGAGAACACTGATGATGAAGGACCGGTTACAGTAACGACCCGCTGGAGAACACTGATGATGAAGGACCGGTTACAGTAACGACCCGCTGGAGAACACTGATGATGAAGGACCGGTTACAGTAACGACCCGCTGGAGAACACTGATGATGAAGGACCGGTTACTGTAACGACCCGCTGGAGAACACTGATGATGAAGGACCGGTTACAGTAACGACCCGCTGGAGAACACTGATGATGAAGGACCGGTTACAGTAACGACCCGCTGGAGAACACTGATGATGAAGGACCGGTTACAGTAACGACCCGCTGGAGAACACTGATGATGAAGGACCGGTTACTGTAACGACCCGCTAAAGAACACTGATGATGAAGGACCGGTTACAGTAACGACCCGCTGGAGAACACTGATGATGAAGGACCGGTTACAGTAACGACCCGCTGGAGAACACTGATGATGAAGGACCGGTTACTGTAACGACCCGCTGGAGAACACTGATGATGAAGGACCGGTTACAGTAACGACCCGCTGGAGAACACTGATTATGAAGGACCGGTTACTGTAACGACCCGCTGGAGAACACTGATGATGAAGGACCGGTTACAGTAACAACCCGCTGGAGAACACTGATGATGAAGGACCGGTTACTGTAACGACCCACTGGAGAACACTGATGATGAAGGACCGGTTACAGTAACAACCCGCTGGCGAACACTGATGATGAA